CTTATTTCTCGGTCACAAATCAAAAATTTTATAGATCACATTATTTTTCGGTTACGAACAAAAATTTTTATAGGTCACAGAATCAAAACTTTTATTGGTCACAACTCAAATATTCATTGCAAATTTTATATTAATTGGTCACGATTAATTTTTCAATCATGACTTAATCAATTGTAAGTCAAAGTCACAATTTTTATGCACATATTATAGATTTAGTGATAGTCACAAATTTGGCCACATTATTTACCGATTACAAATTGACAATTTACTGATCATAATATAATTGGTCACAGACACTCTTTTCCACCCACTAGAACGCTGCCAACCTCCACCTCGTCAAATCCACCACCATCGCCAGCTTCACCAGCGCCAAAACCACCCAAATCCCCAACACCACCAAAACACAAACGACCACCACTACTCTGACAACCGAAAAAACACCACCTCCACCACTACCCACACTAACGCACCAACACCGCCCCCATCACCACCACCACCATTGCAAAATCATATCCATCCACACAACAAATCAGAAACGCACCTCTGCTCACTCAAACCTCACCTGGCCACCATTGCTGAAAAATAAATATAAAATCGCAACACCGTCGACGGCAGAACCACCAACGATAGCATCACCACCCATCACTGCCACAACCAAACACTCGGCACCACTGCCCACCACCACTACCGAACCACTTGAATAAACTACCACAAAACCACCTCAAAACCACTTGTGACCATCGCTCACAACTGACTGAACCTTCACCCCCGCCACAACCCCATTCAACACAGCACGAACACATAACACAAACGCGCGGCCACCACCACCAAAATGCACCATCGGTGGAATGAAGTCGTCGGAGAAGCTAATTCTTGCCCCTTTCTTTAATCTATCCTTAATTTGTTCAATTTCTGTACCCATCTTTCTTTTTGGCTGTTGCAGCTGGGTTGATAATGGAGGGGAGAGAGAGAAAGAGAGAGAGAGAGAAGAATTTGATTACGATATGAGGGTAGGTTGGTAATGTGTATATATTGGAGTATTTTAGCAAAGAAATTAGTTTATAACAAAATTGATTAAAATAAAATTTCTGATTTTTGAAATATGAAACTTTTAATCTCATTTTAAAATATTGAATAGTTAATCTATGGTTTTGTGTAATTTATTTAATTCACTAACATCTATCAGCAGTGTAAAAGCCCATCGTTAATTGCATACAATTAAAGCCCAAATAAAATGTACGGAACTTAAGGCCCCATATGTTTGAAGTCCATGCAACACATAATGCCCTTGTTTGGCCTCAAATTTTGTTTTTTTTAAAATTATTTTCAATCACACATTCTAATAGTTTAACAATTTTTTAATTATATGTCTTAAAATCTATTAAAAATCTATTTTTTAACAAAACTATACCGAGGTTATCATGATTACACAAAATCATGAAGGACTTACGCAACTTCATTTTCGCGAAAAGAGCTATAACTCAAACTTCTTCTTGTGGAATTTCCAAGTCGTCCCACTAATCCACAGTTTTGATATGTAAAAAAGGTAGCCATGGGAACTCTTGTTATTGGATATGTTCGACTGGCTTCTCAATTGACAAATGTCTTTATCAAGCCCTTGCCAATGAAGGGCTTTCATGATTTTTTTGATGCAAGTTAGGAGTCCATGATCATGATCATGATCATCATCATTATTATTATTATTTTATCGGTAAAAGTTAGGAGTCCATTATCATTACTCTTCAACTTGAAGAGGGTTGTTAAGGAATATAATTCAAATGACTACAATAGTGAGATTACTTTATAGAATAAGAAATCAAGAATAAACTCAAAGTCAAAGACCATCAGATTATTACAAATTAGCTAGCTCACAGTTAGCCCTGTTTGGTGAGTATTAAAATCAAATTTTCATAGATTTCTATAGAAGTTAATGAAATGTATTGTTAAAAAGTTGCGGATCCCAATATTTATTAACATTGACTAAAATTAAAATCTCGATTTTAATTTTCACCAAACAGTAGCTTAGGTTTCTTCAGTGTGGTTGTTCATCACTATTATTGCTTAATTCCTTTATTATATATAGTTTGCTGTTTTCGGTACCTAATTGTAGAAACTTTTTGCTATACATATGCATAATATTCAATGAATAAAACAACACTTTTAACCATTACTTTTCTATGAAAATTCTCGGTTAAATGCTCAATGATAGTCGAATCAACTTGATTTGATGAGTTATTCGTCTCTACAATTGACCAATTTCATACTTGTAGACTTCCAGGTGTGCATGAATTAATCTTCCACAGAGTCCGTATTTTTGATACATTGAATCATAAAATAGAACTTCGTGTGTAAAGGTGTGTATATGATATGCAACCAAGCTACACTGACCGAAAATGGTTGACATACAACTCGACCTAACACTCACAATAGGAGAGGCCCACCTTTTTTTTGGAGTTTTTAACGCACGCGGGTCCCGCACGCATTGTGAGTATAGATCAATATTTCTGTCATGCATTTTCTATCAACTTAGATAAATTCATATGATAAGCGTTTTCATTGAATGAATCCTCTGTGGTACACACTGTTGCCAATATTCCTTATAAGAGCATGGCCACCGTGTCTCTTGAGTTCTCATATTGTGTCTTGGTTTTTCTCTAAAATGTTAATTTCCTTGCTATAGTAATGTGAATAGATAGAGTGCATGTTTGGAAGTGCTTTTAAATGTTTTTAAGTAGTATGTAGTATGGAATATGTGAATATTAAATGAGTAGTAACAAAAATAAATTTTTGAATTTCAATAGGACGACTCTGTTTCATTTGGCAAAAAGGCTTGGCTAGGCCTTTTTAAAAAGACGAGCTAGTCTTAGTGGCTATATTCTTTGGACTGTGCTACCTGCACAAGTCCCTTTACACAGGACCTGTACAGGTGCACACACATGGGGTGCACCTGTACAGGCCCTGTGCAAAGAGGCTTGAGTAAGGGGACTTTTCCCATATTCTTTGTATATAGAGATCAAAATTGTTTGGGTGAGCTCGTGTACATTACAAACGTCTACAGAACAAATGTCGAGGCAAATCAAGCCACGGCAACTATGATAGGTTGAACACGTCTTAACAAATGACACCTTCCAATTCATTAACGAAAGCTAACATGACAAGGTTTGAAGAATTTAGTCGAGGACCAACATGTCTATCATCTCTATGCGGAAGTTCAAAACCTTATACACATGTATGCTCATAAATCACAAAATCCCGTGGAAAAATTTGTCCACGACTTTTAAGGGCGGCAGAAAAAGCAGCCTAAAAGGTGTCATCAAGGCACTGGTTGGTTGTTGTCCGTACAACATCCCAATTTCTTATTTTTCCCCAAGTAATTAAAAACCCAGTTAGAAATAGATGTCAGTTTTGCGGTGTGTTCAGATTCAGTCCGGTAATTAGGGTCCTTCACTATCTCTATCTGCTCGTTTCCGTCATTGACACCTAATTAGGGACCAGTACCAATTGGACCCCAGATTCACGGACATCGAAAATCAAATATTTAGAATATTTCTGGTTTTAGATTCCTTTCTTTTTGTATCACTTTAGGGAAGAATATGTTTGTCGAATAAAAACTCGCATGTTCCGCGGGCCTTTTTTTTGGCAATATAACTCTTTATAGCTTTGAAAAATGATTTTTTTAACTTTTAAGCACGCTGTATTTGGCCTTCAGAATAAAAGATTCTCAAAAGCAATTCCAATGTTAACGTGGGCGCTTTGCTCCGTTCGTTATAGTTAGCTCATGTTCGGTATAAATTATTTAAAATACAATTTTTTCTAAACTCATTTTTTATATATATTCTTCTAATAAAATAATTTTTTACGGGCCGTTATTTTTCCTACTTCTAATCACACAATATCTAAAAATATTATTTTTCACAAAATTTATTCTCGAAAAATTACATCGTACATGCCTATGCCTTAGATGTGTAAGACGCAATACAAATGGTATTTGATCTGTCTCTTTAGATGAATTACATTTGGAATGAAATTAATTCTCTAAAAGTGACTCTAACCAGCTAGAATCAGTCCTCTCCTTTCGAGTTTGCACTTCATGGAAGTATGAGCACAGAGTTTACTATAAAGTACTCACTTTTAATGAGAGATTATTTAAACTTTGAACTTGGAATAATGATACATATTTTCATCGATGTTAGAGCATCAATTTAGACGATAATATATGATAAATTCAATTACATAGATAAGATATGATTTCATTTAATGAATTTGTAACTTAATATCACATATATTGTCACCTAAATTGAAGTTAAATACGAGTGGGATTAATAACATAACCCTTTAAATATCTAACGACAACAATGGTAGGAACAAGTAGTTCACGTGTCCCAATCGTTCATGTAGTCACTAGTGTTTTGTGTTGGGTCATGTTAAGGACGTGTCCTAATCACACATTAGTAAATGCGCAATATTAAATATTAATAACTATAACAAGATCCAATTTCTCCTTCAAGATTAAGCCAATAATTGATGCGCCAAGTCTACTTTTCATTTATTTTAAGTTCCTGTATAGTTTAGCTAAAATTGTTTTTTTTTTAAATAAATTTTGAAAAAAGTCGATGAAGTGCGTCATTGAAAACGTGATAAAATTATAAATTTTACGAAATGTGGAATTGACAATGAATTAAAAAAAACTTTAGAAAGTGGAAGGCAAACAAACATAAATGTAAATGATTTACTATTTGTTGGATTCAAAATAAACTCATTATAATATATTATGGTTCGAACATAGTTCGGTAATTATACAATTTGTAGAACAAACTTTTCTCTAAAATGCCTTTTCTCAAGATTTTTAATCTCCATGGCTACGTGTCGACACTGGAAGAACTTAAACCTAAATGTGCCCCCACATCTGATTCCGTTCCTAATTTTTCATTTTTCCTTTTTCTTTTTCCTGGTAATAAAAATCTTTGTAATTTCAACAAGAACTTCCCCCTTGATTGTATAAATTGCCAACCGAGCACTCTAAAGCCAAATATATATTCGCTTCCTTCCTCTTCATGCATTAGCATTTTGTCAATTTAGACTTTTCCTCCGCAGCCCTCCTCTGCCTACGCCGCCATGGTAGTGTTGTCTCAGCCAGTTGTTGAAAATTTTGCTCACATCAAAACATGTAAGCCCACCTCTAACATTTTCACTGAAATTCCAGTAGTAAGTCTCTTAGACCCTGATGCTAAAACCCTCATAGTCGAGGCCTGCAAAGAATTTGGATTCTTCAAAGTGATCAACCATGGAGTTCCAACGGAGTTCATAGCCCAACTAGAAGATGAAACTGTAAAGTTTTTCAATTTACCACTGCCCGAAAAAGAAAAGTCGGGCCTTCCTAATCATTTTGGCTATGGTAACAAAAAAATCGGCCAGAATGGTGATGTGGGTTGGGTTGAGTATCTTCTCTTTAGCACCAACCCTGAACTTTTCTCCCCGAAAGGAAAATTCATTCTCCCAGGAATTTCAGAATCTTTCTGGTAAAAATTTACTCTCAGTTTATAATCTATTTTTTCTTGCATGGTAAAAAAATGGCCTTCAACCCTTAAAACGTATTTGCAGGTCTTTTGTGAATGAATATGTGTCAGCAATGAGAAATATGGCATGTGAGGTACTGGAAATGATAGCAGAGGAACTGAAAATTGAGCCAAGAGACATTCTGAGCAAGCTGTTAAGAGATGAGAAAAGTGATAATTGTTTCAGGCTAAACCATTATCCGCCATGCTCAGAGCTTCAAGCATTGAGTGGTCGAAATTTAATAGGTTTTGGAGATCATACAGACCCACAAATAATATCTATAATAAGATCTAACAACACATCAGGCCTGCAAATCGCTCTGAAAGATGGTACATGGGTCTCAGTCCCACCTGATCACTCCTCCTTTTTCATCAATGTCGGCGATTCATTGCAGGTAACCTCTAACGATGAAAGTGTGTATACATATATAATTGACATTTTCAAAATTTTACTAGTTTATAATTAAAATTTCTTTAATAGTAATTGTCAATCAGTTCATTTAACTTTATGTTGCTTTCTTTATAGGCATTATTCTTTCCCTTTTTCGCAATAATTTCTGTGAAACAGACTTCAGAAAATTTTCTATTCGTGAACTTGAGCTCATGACTTGGTGTGCAGGTACTCACCAACGGGAGGTTTAGGAGTGTAAGGCACAGAGTTTTGGCTGGCAGTTTGAATTCTCGAATTTCCATGATTTTCTTCGGAGGACCACCTTTGACTGAAAAGATTACACCTTTATCATCAATAATGGAACAAGGAGAAGAAAGTTTGTACAATGAATTCACATGGTACGACTACAAGAAAGCAGCCTACAAAACAAGATTAAGTGACAACAAGCTAGGGTTTTTCGAAAAATCTTTTGCCCATAATTAATAATCAAATTCAAAAAGAGGTCTATTGAATATGTTGACCCAAGGGACTTGCCATAGGAGGAAAGAAATATGTTTTTATTTTCTTACTTTAATTTCATCACCTTATTTTTCTTTTTGTGTTTAATTGTAATAACTGTCCCTGTCTACTATTAGTGCAAATGTTATCTGCTCATGTCATCTTGTATAATATTTCAGAGCAATTCTCTTCTCCTGACCGCCTTAAATATGGATGGTGTCAAATGAGGCTTGCTACACTAATATCTTACGTTCACAAAATTATTCGTAGTTTTACGCTTTATATGAAAAAGATATTTTATAAGGGTGTGATAATACGCTAACTTGTAACATATTTAGACCTCTAAATGTGGATGGAATTGAATAGAGACACAAGTACTTAACATACGTAACTTCTTGCAATATATTAAATAAGAGACCATCTATAAATAAGAGTAAACATTAATTGTATAATATTTTAAGAGCAATTTTTTTACATGATTTGTAAGAAACATTAAAGAGAAATTTCTTCGCCTAACTCCTTCAGTGTGGATGGTATGAAATGGGATTGGCAATTTCTTAAGTCGAAAAATGCAGGCATAATTACTCAAAAATATTTAAAACATAAGTAGAACCTAATTGAACTGACCAATTTAGATCCGATTTAGTTTAATTGGTTCTAGTACTTTTGCCAACCTCTACGTCAAAGGGACACATTTCAAGAGTGTTACATACTATATTATCATATTAGAGAGAAATTTCTTCGCCGAACTCATTAATTATGAATGGTGACAAATGGAGCAGGCAATTTCTTTCGTCGACAAATACAGGCACAATCACTCTATATTTGTAATTTATAGCGGAACGCATTAAAATGCAGGTGCAATATGTACAAGTGTTATGTATTCTAATACAAAAAAAATAATGCTATGGACTTCCACTAAAATTACAATCCCAGTCTAAGTGGCGCCAATAATAGACTGAATGAAATGTAAAATTAAATGATTTATTTAATTTCCTTTATCATTTAATGCCACGTTAATGCCACCTAGATTGGGGGATTACAATCCCAGTAGGACTAAATAGCATTACTCAATACAAAAACGACTACGTTCTATTACTGAGTTCCCGAGGTCATCAATGGCTTACCGTTCGTATTATAGTCGAAAGTGAATTGCACACGCTGGTGTCAAGAGAAAAAGGTCTACACATACAAAGAGGTTTGAAAACTTTTAACGAGTGCACTCTACACATTCTCTCGGCATATATACAATCTTCATACATATAGATTACTCTGATGGATGATTTGTTGAGTCCAAAGGCAACGCAAGATTGAGATTTAATGACAATAATAAAATATTTAAGATCGCACCACAGAAACAAGATTAAAGTAAAGTACAAAAAAGAAACTAAGCAAAGGAACGATGAATTTTATTAAACTCGACAATATAGAGAGAATAATATAGGATAGCAATAATCCTTCTACAAAAACTGATAGATGAGCCTTTAATTTATAGGAGCCTAATGGAGTCCTAAAAGGAAAGAAATTAGATTACAATTAAGAAAAATCACGTAAAAGGGAAGAAAAATTTCGGAGCCTAGATTTTATTTCCTTAATTTTGGATTCAATTGATTTTCCAAATCTCATACGTAATCTTGAAGAATCCAAAGCCTAATTTTGAGGCACACCTTTAACAATCTCCACTTTTGACTCAAAATTTCGATGCAACGAATGAAACTCCAAGATTTCAAATCCATCTGCATTGGAATGAACTGGCCAATCTCCTCAACGTAATAACTAAAACTCTCCATCACCAAACTATCATTCTATACACGGCGTCCACAAGTAACACCCGAACCCAAATCCCAGGTTCCCAAAATTTCACCGAAGAATTACTATTGACCAAATAGGGCCGAAGCACACTTTGTAGCAGAAATCATACCAAGTGCTTGATCAGAATGTCCCTTGTCAGAACTGTCAACTTCAACAATCCCAAAAGCATCACAGACATCAATAACACCACTGTACTTACATTGCATGAGTCCATCCTTGACATTTGAACACAGTGCAACTGCTGAAATTGATGGCAAAACGGAATCACTAACGCTCCCATGAGAAATGTTCTGAACCGACACAGAGCCTATCACAAGAGGTACTGCACCAAACTGAATATCCACCACAGTACTGAACTTGTCCAGATGTCTCTTAACTAGTTCTGCGTTCCCATACAAGATGTACAATTGAGACTTCTTCCATTCCTCCAGTACAATACGGACACCCCTTCGGACCTTCAAGACTCCACCTCCACTAGAGAATTTATATTATTTTGCATCCAGGGTACTCAGAGCTTTGTCAAGTCTGGAACATGGCGAACCTGATCAAGTGTTCTCACCGTCCCATCTTGTAGCCTCAATTTGACCCGACCGATTCCTGCAACTCAATAAGATTGGTTGTTTCCCATGACAACTCCACCTTACTTCACCGTCTCATATGTCTGAAACAAAACCCTATTGGGACACATATGATACAAACATGCAAAATCCAAAATCCACTCCGAGGTTTGGATTCCCCATCAGATACAACCAACATTACATCTCCATCATCCAAAAAACTCTCAACAATGTTAGTCTCGTTACCTGATTGCTCTACATGATTTGCATGTAAATCACCTATACCTCACAACTTGTCGCAATCTTTCTTAATGTGTTATTTCCTTTTGCAGTAATAACAATACAAATTGATGTACCTCACATTCGATCTACCCCTCCGTCGATCACCATGAGTAACCAGAGCATCCCACCCCTAGATGTAAGATCTCCAATCAACAACTTCATCTTCTTCTTTGAGAACAGGACATCATATACCTCCTCAATGATCAGCGTGTCACGACTATACAATATAATATCACTAAATGACGAAAAAAACTGGGTAGCGAACACAACAGGATCAAGGCCAGATCCTCTTCATTATATTTTACCTCCAATGTCTCCAAATCCGCAACAATCTCTTTGAACACAATAAGATGGTCCTGTAGTGACCTTCCTTCCGCCATGCGACGAGAATACAACTTCTGCTTTAGAGTCAATTTACTCGTCAAACTCTTTGTCATGCACAACTGCTCCAGCTTGAGCCACAAAGTAGCCGTCGTCTTCTCATTCAAGACATCCTGCAGAATATTGTTGGATAAGTAAAGATGAATTTGCACTAGAGCCTTTGGATCCCTCCGTTGTTTCTCTTCCATAGACAAATTTGTTGGCATCTTCTCAAAATCCAGCAAAGCATTGTCAAGATCCATTTGCGTCAACACAGCTCTCACCTTTACTTGCCACAGTGAAAATCTTGTATTACGATCTAGTAACGAAAATTTACGCTTCAACGAATTCATCCTTGAAAAATCTCAACCAAATCACGAAAAACCTCCAATTCGTGTTCTAATACCACTTGTTGAGTCCAAAGGAGACACAAGATTAAGATTTAATGACAATAATGAAATATTCAAGATCGCACAACGAAATCAAGATTAAAGTAATGCACAAGAAAGAAACTAAGCAAAGGATCAATGAATTTTATTAAACCCGATAATATGGAGAGAATAATACATGACAAGAATAATGCTTCTATAAAACTGACAAAGGAGCCTTTACTTTATAGGTCACGGCCATAACCCTAATAGAGTCCTAAAATGTAAGAAATTAGGTTACAATTAAGAAAAATCACGTAAAAGGGAAAAAAAAACTCGGAACCCAGATTTTATTTCCTTAATTTTGGATTCATTTGATTTTCCAAATCTCACACGTAATCTTGAAGAATCCAAAGCCTAATTTTGAAGCACACCCCTTAACTTGATCCAGTAAATTACTATAGTGATTACGAGATAATTTCAAAAGGGTGTTGGCTTGGAAAGTTTCAAACCTTTCTTTTCTTTTACGAAGTCGAAATTTTTTAACACAAACTTGAAATTAATTCTTCTTCAGTACTATTTATTCTAGAAACACATGTTCGTTCAATGTTTCTTGATACTTTTTTAATTTGTTCTCAGAAATATATATTTTTTGTATTATATATTTTCTCGCAAAAGTTAACATGTCTTAGAACACTTTGAAAATAAGAATATATAATGCAAGCAATTGAGATAAAAGTTTTTCTTGAACTTTAAAAAGAATCAGATTGTGTCAATGTAAAAGCAAAATCTCTTAAAAGTATCATTTTGGGCCCGTAAGACAAGTACTTTTAAAGAATGAAAATTTAAATTTGAAATTAAGAAACATTTGAACATGTTTGGATAATTTCTAGAAATAGTTTATTAAGGAAACTTCTTTAATAAACTCTTTTACAAGAAGAAGCAAGAAATAAAAATCGTACCAAACAGACCCTATATGATATTGAGCAGAAGACTAGCTCATTTCTCATTATAAAGAAATAGTAAATACAAAATTCCAGCTAGCAAGCAAAGCTTTTTATATTTCTTTGTAATCGGAAAAGAATATATATTGGGAGTTGAAACATAATTTATATTCGGATTTTGCATCAGCAGAGCATGCCTTAGATTTGGTCCAATCCCACTATCTAACAAGAATCAATTCTCACAAAATCGACCAACTATACTTCAATGTCAACATCAAAAAATTTGATCCGCTTAAGTAAAGTGGGTTCAGTAAAAAAAGTGAATAAGAATGACTTATTTTCATGTACCAACTTTTTTCAGCATAAAAAGGCAGGATTGAGTTTATAACTATCCAAATCTTCCATTTCTTTGAAAAATTCAATCACAAAATTATGGGCCTACATTTAACATTTATTATGCCCCGTTTGTTTCTCATTATTTGCCCATTAAAATGAAAAATATGACCGTTATTCATCATATTAAGCCACCATATTTGACTTTCTATCTCTTGTGTGGGGTCCGTAACGGTTATATTTTTCAATTTCATTTTTACATTAATGTGTACCAAACAAAGATCATAATGGAGAATGCAATTTTGTTTTTTCTTTTCATTTTCATTTATTTATTTGTTTATTGTATTCCCGTAAGCACTAGTTCAATGAACGCAGCCATTTTAAAATTCAAATAATGATTATCATTTTAAATAATTATAAACGATAAACAATCCTATCCTTCATTAACAATGGCTTTATAAAATATATCATTATATAAAATTTGATCTATATTATTTTTATATAGTCAAGAAATGATTCGACATGCCACTTGTAAAATA